TATATATATATATATATATATATATATATATATATATATATATATAGTTGTAAGCAAAAGTAACAGTTTGGCTGAAACACTGCATCACCTTTTGAAGTATTCAACCTCCCGATCGATCTCATCCATTTCTTTTGGATCCACATCTTTAGGAAGAAATACGTCATCTACGGAATGAAAACAAGGATTTAAAACAAAATTAGATAGGAAGTTAAAAAAAAAGAGAGGGATGAATAAAATTCTCCTCCCGTACCAAGAGCACTGCTGGACTTTTCTCCCTTATTCTTGTTCTTCTTGTTTTTCCCCTTAGGCTGTTGCTGTTGAGGCCCGTTTGCTAGAATAGCAGGATGAGCTTTGCTCTCCGATTCCTGCTCAGACCGGCCTCCTCGTGTCTCTGGCTCAAACTTCCCTCTTTGTGTGCCCGAGGAGGCACCGTTTGCTGCATGTGCTGTATGTTTGGATGATCTGCCCTCTTCTGCTTTCTTCGGCCCGTTCCTCTGGTTGTCTGCAGAATGCTGAGGCTGCTTGTTCCCAGACTTTGAGCCATTAGATACCATTTCTTTACACTCAATGGTTTTCTGTGCTTCATTACCAGAGGCAGCTTTGGTTGGTTTATTAGAAGTTTGCTCTGGCACAGATGGCTCCTGTTTCTGCTGTTGTTGCTGCTGCTGCTTTTTATTCTTCTTGGACTTCACACTGCCATTTCCAACTGCTGTGTTTTTGGGGTCGCTGGTGTCCTCCTTCGATTTAGCCACTGTTTGAGCTGGCACCTGCGGCGAACTGTCAGATCCAGTGGAAGTGCGTCTTTCTGGTGAGCCAACTCCTATGAGCTTTGAAAGAACGGTAGTAGTGTGTAACCGCTGGATGTCCTTTGAAGCGGCACTAAGACCCGATGAGGTGTTGGTGGCAGCATTTGGGGATGAGGCGACATTTGTGTCTTCCCATCCATTTACCAGGTCCAGGTGGCTCTTAAAGGTTCCCAGCGAAAGAGGAGAGAGGTCCAAGTCTATTTGCTGCATGTCGGAGGAACCATTCAGGTGGGACAGTAAATGGTTTCCCTCCAACGTGGCTGCCTTCTTTGGAAAGTCGTTCACGTCCAGGTTGAGGTCGTACATGCTAAAAGAGGCTCGGATTGAGTCTTTGATGGTGTTCTTGATCTCTTCTAGTCGACTTGTGAGAAAACTGTTGACCCGTTCTAGTTCTAGCTGAGGCCAGTCAAGCAGTCGACTGGTTTCTGGACCGTCGGGAACGGGTTCGTCAGTGGGCTCATCAGCTGGATTGGATTGGGGTTCACTGCCTGCAGCACCCGTGTTGTTCTGCTGAGCTTTCTCCTACAACAGAAACGCCACAGGTCCAATAGTAAAATGTAAAAAACATCCATTGATCAGTTATCACTTTTTTATTTGACTAAAGTACATTTGTAGGAAATGTTCACTAATGCCACCGCACCTTCTTCTTCTGTTTGTGTCGAGCCCTTTTGGCAGCTTTGGCGCTGTTGACAGGTTTGGGCTCTGAACTGTTTATGAAGTCTAGCAGCTCGTCTACGTCCCTGTTGTCAATGGCACCCACCGCCGTCAGCTCTGAATCCTGGCGCTGAGGAGGCTCCTCTTTACGCCGGGTTAGACGTGAGCGAAGCTTCTCTCGGATCTCAGCGTAGTTTCGGCTGGTTGGTGCAGCTGGGGGCTGAGAACAGACATTACGTAACTACTACGTCTCTGTTTTATAAGTGTTTCCTAAGCCTGGAAGAACAGGTGTAGATTATAACTTGGACTTAAAGTACCGCGTTGTGTCCAAAGAACTCGCAGTAGCAGCAGTCGCAGTACTTCCCATCCTTCTGGTTGGTAGAAGAGGAGGCACAGGAGCTCCTTTCAGAACTGCTATCTTCATCCTCCCCCTCTTCCAGCTCAGATGAAGGGTGGCACAATGTCCCATTTGTCACTTTATGCCCCTTACATGCCTGATCCCTACAAAAGAAAGACACAAATCCCATAGAATACATTAGTACTTCTAATAAACCCTCATTTTTTCCACATTCCTCATGCTAATCCGAACAATGCTGAGGCATCAGCACTAACCTGCAGGCTCCAGCTGTTAGATGGCCCACATTAGACGTGGCCACAGTTCCCTGGCTGTGTCCGTTACAAGAGTGATTGCAGCCCATTAGAGACGTTCCCAGTTTGCTGTGCTGTGTGTTCACGGGTGGAATGTGGGAGTTTTTGCATGGGCTGGGCTTGTGCACAGATGTGGGGCTGTCTGGACTTGGAGAGCTGAGTTTGGCCGTGGTGCTGTGGAGGTTTGGTACCAGCGGGGGAAAAGAGGCATGAGCAGGGTCGCCAGTGCCACAGGAGGAGCTTACGTGGCCATGCTGCCCGGAGCTCGGCTTCGGGGGCAGGAGGGAGGAATGCTGTGACGAAAGGCCGGTTGGACTGTTGGGGGGTACAGATAAGTCTGTATGTTGATGGTGGTCGTTTGGATGAAAGGCTTCACCTGGGCGATAGAAAGTATAAACAGATATATAACTTGTCTCACCTCCTGAATATTAAACACGTTTATTGATGTGTACAAAGATTTAAACTATTCCAAATTAGTTCCATTTTTTTCCCTGAATGTCCTTGACAATATTAATCCACCGTCTGTAATCACTAAATCACACTATCAAACTACGATGCTGGCTTACCCTTACATACATGCAGCTCTGTGACCACCTCACTTGACAGTTCAGAGGCATACCTTCCTGTATTTTTTTTATTGAGCTTTAACTAGTTCCATTACGACCACGTCCTCATGGTTTCAACACATTTGTACGAAAAACCTCAAACGTGCAACAATAACAAAGACTGGGTAAGCGCAGTGACAAAGGAGTTCCTTCACCCTCAGAAGGTAATTTAACTAATGAGTTAGTGATCCTTAGAGAAAACTAATTCTTAAAAATGCCAGTCTGGTGTTGTGTGAAGACTCCAGATCAGGCAGCCAAAACTGATTTATTGTTTTCAGTCAAACGCATTCAAGTGTCGCACAGTGGTACGACATGGATGTATAATATTTAACCATAAAATGTAACTTTTTCTAAAATTACTTGTGCTCAACGCCCGTTTCAGTTTCGTTATTTGCATTTGCTGAACCGGATGTACGGTAATACCAGCTGCTGCAGCACAGTGCATCTGCTACCGAGTCCTGATTTCAATCAGCAGAAGTACCGGTAAGACGTTCTGAGCTGTGGAGCGTCACATTCTTCAGCCTGCCTGCATGTGGAACTGCTTTCTTTACTTGTGCAACATGCAACTGAGTTTTTGCTCTTTATATCTAAACGAAAACAACTTTGTTTGATGCGATGAGAAGCAGAACTCGGCAGCGACGTCCAGCAGGGATAGTTAGCTCTTCCGGGGGAAGTTGGAGCCTGTCCTGGTAAACTTTTTACAGACACACCCAAACGTAAAAAACGTGCCAGCACAGAGTGAGGTACTATAAATATCAAAAGTATAGCGATAGAGGTAAAAAATAATAATAATTACTTAAAGACGTACTTAATTTTATTACCATATGATAATTTTGGGTTTAAAAAAGCATTTCCAATGGGATCGCTCTACGGTCATTTCTCCCCTATGAAACAAGAAATGGTAATAAAAATACTGTGAGGTTAAAGGAGCATTTGAAACAATTTTTACGTAAACAAAAAGATGGATTTTTTTTTTTGGATTTTTATTGACAGCACCAAAAAAATTGAACAAAACGTTAACAAAAATAAATGCATAGTTGATTTTTCCCCATGGGGGAATAGGTCAGGAATCAAACTTTAGAACTGAACAATTTATGTAAAAAAAAAACAATTTTTTCCACATACTTCTGCATGTGAACAACTAGTGTCTGTCAACAGCAAACTGGTTGATCCACTATGAGACGGTGCTGCTTAAAAACTGACACTGTTGCAGCTGCTCAGACTGAAAAAGTATTTTGGATCAAAAAACAAATTGTTTCAATAAAGAATAATCTGTCCAGAGGAACAGACTTAACCTTGTTAGATTCATCTAGCTGGCTTATTGAGCATGCATCAGGGCAATACCAAATATCGCTCAAAGTACCATTGAATTTTGAGGGTTGCAAGAAAACTATTAAAGAATAACAGAGCATTAAAATTTATAAACAAAAGCAAAAAGAGAATTAATCTGAAGCCACAACAAAATGTACCGTAATTGCCGGTCTACAGAGTGCACCCCAATATAAGCCGCACACACTAGTTTATTTTGATTATTTTTATTTTTTGTACATATATAAGCTATGCCTGTGTATAAGCCGCAGGTAAATGGTAAATGGACTGTACTTATATAGCACCTTTCTATCTGATCAAGATACTCAAAGCTCTTTACAACACAATCTGTGTCCTCATTTACCCATCCACACAGCACTCTACTAGATCTCTACAAAGCTAATTGAACAAATCATTCTAAAGAGACTAATCAGAGCTTTATCATATTCATACACTGATGGGACACACATCAGAGGCTATGAGGGGTTCAGTGTCTTGCCCAGTGACACTTCGGCATGTGACTGCTGGTGGATTCGAACCCCCAACTCTTGCATTGGAGGACGACTGCTCTAACCACTCACCCACAGCCGCCCCTGTTCACATTGTAACATGAGTGGCAGCACACAGCTACTGAGAGACGTACAGCGCTCGTTGTAGATCAAGATTCAACCACCAGATGATGTTTTATATAGTTTATCTTACTGTTCAACACACACAGAGTGAACCCCACAGGTCTTCATGACAACTACCTCCCTCACTCATATTTACTCTACAGAACGGCCTAACACAAACTAACATATAATGAACACATAAACTAGGCTAAGAAGAACAGACTAATCACTAAAAGAAATGCTAAACAGCTAACCGAAATGATCAACAATGAACATAAATTTTACCCATAATCCCTCTCTGAGGCCAAGTGACCAGCAGTCAACCACAATGAACCAATGAGGTAGTCTCACTAGCTGTGTTTACATGCGCAGAATTCTTTGACCGGATTGAAATGTGTTCTGTTTGAATAATTCAAATGTATTGTTTACATGAGCACAATCTGTTCATGACGAGCGTTTACATGCAGCGGGCTTTGTTCTGAACAGCAGTACTGACATGCGCAGAGTGGTAAACTCTCCTTAAAAAAAACACTGAAGAAGAAGTTTTACTTCCGGGGTGAACGTAAACAAACCTGAGCACCCAAAATGGACCCGCGACAGGTTTTAATGATGGTGGAGACGTTACTGCACTCCCTGACTGAGCTACAGGTAATACAGATCATTTTGAGCTCTTTCAAAGTTTCTAGTAGAAATGTTGTGTCGCTCACCGACCAGTTTTGCTCCCCTGACATGCTAATATTATTAGCCTTAGCCAGGCGGAAATGGCAAAGTCGCACATGCACAGTCAGGTCAGTTTTTCACGATCAGATAAAAACGAACAGATCAAGCGTTTACATGCGCACCTATCGGGTTACGGATCGGCGTAAACCACCCGTTTCGTTCTGATCACAAATTATATCGGATCGCGCCGAATACACAAAAAATAACCCGAACGGAGTGTTTACATGACACACTTTTATTCCGACCGGCCATTTGATCCGGTTACTTATGTCCATGTAAACATACCCATTGAGTCACGAGGACCCACCACCCAAGAGAGACGTTTATTAATGAGACTACCTGTAATAAAGGTTAAAAGAAAGTTACAATGAGGAAAATAAGTATTTGAACACCCTGCAACTTTGCACGTTCTCCCACTTTGAAATCATGGAGGGGTCTGAATCTTTCATCTCGGGTGCATGTCCACTGTGAGAGACATAATCTAAAAAAAAAAAATCTTGAAATCACAATGTATGATTTTTTAATAATTTATTTGTGTGTTACTGCTGAAAATAAGTATTTCAACACCTGTGAAAATTAATGTTAATATTTGGTACAGTATCTTTGTTTGCAGTTACAGAGGTCAAAGGTTTCCTGTAGTGTTTCAGCAGGTTTGCTCACACTGCAGCAGAGATTTTGGGCCATTCCTCCACAGATCTTCTCTAGATCAGCCAGGTTTCTGGGCTGTCACTGAGAAACACGGAATTTGAGCTCCCTCCAAATATTTTCTATAGGGTTTAGGTCTGGAGACTGGCTGGGCCACTCCAGAACCTTGATATGCTTCTTACGGAGCCACTCCTTGGTTCTCATGGCTGTGTGCTTCGGGTCATTGTCATGTTGGAAGAACCAGCCACGACCCATCTTCAATGCTCTAACTGATGGAAAGAGGTTGTTCCCCAAAATCTCTCACTACTTGGCCCCGGTCATCCTCTCCTTAATACAGTGCAGTCGTCCTGTCTCTTGTGCAGAAAAACACCCCCAAAGCATGATGCTTCCACCCCCATGCTTCACAGTAGGGATGGTGTTTTTGAGATGGTACTCATCATTCTTCATCCTCCAAACACGGTGAGTGGAATTAAGACCAAAAAGTTCTATTTTGGTCTCATCTGACCACATAACTTTCTCCCATGACTCCTCTGGATCATCCAAATGGTCATGGTCAAACTTAAGACGGGCCTGGACGTGTGCTGATTTAAGCAGGGGAACCTTCGTGCCATGCATGATTTTAAACTATGACGTCTTAGTGTATTACCCACAGTAACCATGGAAACAGTGGTGCCAGCTCTCTTCAGGTCATTGAGCAGCTCCTCCCGTGTAGTTCTGGGCTGATTCCTCACCTTTCTTAGGATCATTGATACGCCACGAGGTGAGATCTTGCATGGAGCCCCAGTCCGAGGGAGATTGACAGTCATGTTCAGCTTCTTCCATTTTCTAATAGTTGCTCAAACACTTGATCTTTTTTCACCAAGCTGCTTGGCAATTGCCCCGTAGCTCTTTCCAGCCTTGTGGAGGTCTACAGTCTTTGGACAGCTCTTTGGTCTTAGCCATGTTAGTAGTTGGAGTCTTACTGATTGTGTGGGGTGGACAGGTGTCTTTATGCAGCTACCGACCTCAAACAGGTGCTTCTAATTTAGAATAATAAGTGGTGTGGAGGTGGACGTTATAGAGGAGGACTAACAGGTCTTTGAGGGCCAGAACTGTTGCTGATTGGCAGGTGTTCAAATACTTATTTGCAGCAGTAACACACAAATTAATTATTAAAAAAATCATACATTGTGATTTCCGGATTTTTCTTTTAGATGATGTCTCTCACAGTGGACATGCACCTAAGATAAAAGATTCAGACACCTCCATGATTTCTAAGTGGGAGAACTTGCAAAGTCGCAGGGGGTTCAAATACTTATTTTCCTCACTGTATCTGACCAATGAAATTACTGAACGGGTCACAGCCGAACCAATGAAATGGGGAGGGGAGAAGAAAAGGGGAGGGGGGATTTCCCCCCCCCCCCCCCCCCCCCCCACTCTGTGTGTGTTAAACAGTAAAATAAAGTCACGAGGGCCCACCCCTCGAGAGAGGTGTATTGGGCAGCTATGTGAGCGTCCGAGTGTGACGAGGCTAAATGTTTTTGGCGGCAAGAACTCGTTAGCCTGTCCAAAAAATAAATATATAAATTCATAAATTTGTTGCAGCATTGTTTAAGCCACAGGGTTCAAAGTCTGTAAAAAAAGTAACGGCTTATAGACTAGAAAGTACGGTAACTGTGTAAGTGGTACAGAGCTCCAGAGGATTCTGGAGTTCCTGTCCAAGGACTCTTTTTAAGCTGTTTACTGCAAAGTTTAAGGAGTGACAATGAAAAAAGGAACACAGTTCAAGTTTTCAAAGTTATTTTTAAATCAGATTTCTATTCTGACTCCAAATTACATTTGAAACCCATTAAAGTTCCAGGGCATAAGGCAACCAAACAAGACACGATAAATAAAAGGTGGTGGACTTTGTTTTATTAAAACCAATACTTACCATTGTCTTAATTGTCAAAAAAGCTTTGTTTAAAAGGTAAATTCAAATATTTGCTAACAGTTTTCATTATTAAAAATGTTTCATATAACAAAAAAAAAAAACTAAATTACTAAATAATTACCAATGCGTGCTCATCTGCTCACACAGACTCATGTTCGTGCTGCTGTTTGACGTAATGTTTTAATTCTATTAGTGCTTAGTGTATTTGTAGTTGATGTTTTTCTAAGTTCATATCTTAGATGTTATCATTGTTTTTCTTTTACATTTTTATTGTTGGATGTAACTGGGAACTTGTGTACAAAATTTCGTCCCACCACATGTACCACATGTGGTGCGAACGACAATAACGAATCTCTGACTCTGAAATAACCCATTTGACCTACTTAAAATTTATTTAAATGATTTATCAGGTTGTATTCCCTAATAAAATACATGATAGATTCAACAAAATGCTACAAAAAGTAAATAGAAGAAAAAGGGGGTGTGGAGGGATAAAAATGTAAATTACCTGGCGGCGTTGGTCGACGGCACATGGTTTTGAAGTGCTTGGGAGTGGTCTTACAAAGGTCTGTGGAGGTAGACAGAGAGTTCCCAGCAGAAGACCCACTGGAGTTCTGGGACGACGGGTGACTGTAGGGGCACGCTTTGGACCCTGATGTTTTAGCAGATTTTCCAGGCACTTCATGAAGTCCTCTTTTCTCATGAAAGGCTGTTCCTGCTGTTCCCCCTGCTGGTAAAACAAGCATAAATTAATTTAAAACTAAAAATAGATTTAAGGTAATCAATCAATCAATCAACCTTTATTTAGACAGGTAAATCCCATTGAGCCTCAAGGACTCATTTACAAGAGAGACCTGATTTCAACAAAGAAAGATGACAACAATGGACAACAGTAAGAACAATAAACAATTATAAAAAGTCCTACTGCAGGGTTTTTTTTTTTTTTTTTTTTTTTTT